TTGGGAAAAGGTAAGCATTTTGTTAAAAAATTGCTTTTCTCCCTTTTGTGATAGAGTGAGAAGGGTTGCGTTCGTGTGTGTGTGTGTGTGTGTGTGTGTGTGCCAGTATTCATGCTTTCAGCCTTTGTGCTCAAGGCTAGTGCCACTTCCAGCTTTTTTGGAGGGTGGGGTGGGAGGAGGGAGTTAATTGGAGATAAGAGGCTCATGGATTCTTGTGCCCTAGCTTTCAACTGTGATTCTCAGATCTCAGCCTCTTGAGTAGCTAGGATTACAGATGTGAGCTACTGGTACCCAGCTCAGTGAGACGAATATTTAAAAACTATCTTTTAATTGATTATGGTAGGCACTTAGTTACAATAGTTTTCTAATTGATTTTCTTAAGTTTCCCAAATAGTTATACTATTTTAAAATTTTTCTATTAATGTCTTTATATCATTTTTGCTTTGTTGAATTTCAGCTTTTGGAACAATGTCAGATATTGGTGGCAGGACAATCACAGTGGACATTTCTTTTTTGGCCTTAACTATCCTGGGACTATCCCCAATAGTTTGTCTTTAAGTTTATGTGTAGATGTGGGGGTGGGGAATGATTATCATGGTGAACATACTGGGCTAAAGCAATCATTGGAGATTTCACCTTGACTTTGGCATTTTGTCAGTTTTAGACTTCAGCATTGCCATGGGCAATTTAATGAGGAATTAGAAACAAGTATATGATCCCTCCAAGTTGTAAGTACTGTGACTTAGAAATTGAATGCATAAATTTTAGAAAGATTTTCAACAAACGGGGCAATATATTCTTGCCTAATTAACTTTAACATTCAATTCATTTCCCTAAGCATCACAGTCTTCAGAGGTAAGATAATTGGCTTTTCCTAATTAGATTTATCTCACACTCCATTATTTTCCATTATACATGCTATTTCCACCTCCAACCACAATTTATAGCATTTCAGACCAGGACTTGAGAAAGTCAAACTTTCTTGAATTAGTAAGAAACAAACTCCTGAGATGAAGGTGCATCACCCAGTACACTATCTTGGCTCTACTGACAATTACTGAGGAGTAGGAAGAGTGGGTTCTGACTGATCTTATATCCTGAACATATCTGATCCCTGTGCTCAGACAGATAAACTCACATTTAACTCTAGCCCGAAGACTGCAGGAATTTGGCTTTTTTGAGGATTAGACCTGTGAATTCAGTCATGGCCCTGTCACACTGTATGTAGAAATATTTAGGGCTAACTAGCCCCCTCCAAAGGACTCTGATTGTATGCCCAGTTCAGAGCACCTGGAGACTCCTGTCTGTTTCTAAAGAATTTCTAGCACCTTTCTATGTGACACTGTGGACCATTGCTTAGGACAACTTGTCAAGACTACTCTTCAGCCCTCCCTCCCCTGGCTGCTTTTTTTATTCTTTTTTGGGGTGGTGGTGGTGGTGCTAGTGCTAGTGCTCCACCACTTGAGCCACACAGCTCCACTTCCAGCTTTTTGGGTAGTCAACGGAGATGAGTCTCATGGGCTGCCTCTGAACCTAGATCCTCAGATCTCAACCTCTAAGGATTACAGAGGTGAGTGCTACCAGTGCTCAGCTGGTCTACTATTTTTGAAAAAAATAAAAAGGTAAGCAAAATTTAGTTTGGAAGAAAACTTCATGACAGAGTACTTAAATCAGTCAGAACTGTACCTTTCTTCTTCCTCTGGTTATGGCCAGTAGCTGATGAATTCGTGATGATGCTCTGGCCTCTACTGGCTTTGCTGTCCTCTACTGTTCCTGTTGGGTTAACTGCAGCAGAAAACTTGCCAGATGGCAACAGTAGGTGTGTGCTACAGAATTTTAAAAAATTCAGGCATTTAACAAAGTCTTGTACAAAATAGACGCTTTATTTGGAACAAATGGTTTCAAACCTGAAAGAATGAATGAAGAAGAAACGGCCAGGCTAAAGCTTTTACAAATGCGCTCTGGCAAGGATGGCTCTGGGGAAGGGATTGAACTGTGGGAAAGTCAGCACTCATATTGGAGAAGACCCGTTATGAAAACTCACATTTTCCTTTAGCGTTGCATTTTCCAAGGGCTATGTTTTACGCTTTTACAATTCCTGAGAACAGATGTGATTTAAAGCTGAATCCCCAGTGAGGTTCTCTGTGGAGCTGGCCTAAAGGATTCCAGACACCTGCATTTCATCCCTTGTGCCAACTATTCTTCTTTTACTTTCAAGAAAGGAGGCTGAAAAAGAACCAGTGGCAAGAAAAGGGGAAGGAATTCAACAGCTGAGTACCACCCATTCCCTCTGTAAAGGACTGGCTACGTCATTTGAGGAGCCTGGAATATTCATTCAGGGTCACTTGCTCAGAATTATTGAGAATTGCAAGAATGTGAGAATTACAAGAATGCAGCAAGGGTAAGCTGAGCATTGTTCCCTTCTAAGTGCGCAGGTTACATACCCTAAAGCTAGCTCTGCAGATGGATTCTTAGTTTCTGATGGTTTTCAACTAAGTGAAATGGAATAGGGTTGAGGTGAACAGATTTTATTAGAGCTCAATGCTTTTTAATGGATTTTTCTGTGACAATCAATTGCTCTCTCTGTGTTGTCAGATACAGTCCCTACTGAACACTTAAGATGGGTTAGTGCTACTGAATAAACTGCATTGAAAATGTTTCTTTTAGCTAACATAAACAACTAGATACATATGCTGCCATATTGGACAGAGAGCTGTTCACCAAATCATCCCAACTACAAAGAAAATAGTTGCTGGGCTGGGGATGACAATCAAATGGCAGAGGGCCTGCCTGGCACACAAGAAACCCTGGGATCAACCCGCAGAATTGCTAACAAGGAGAAACACATTATGTCTTTCGTATTAACTGGTTTGTTTTTTTTTTTTTTTTGGTCAGTTGTGGGGGCTGAACTCTGGGCCTGGGCGCTGTCCCTCAGCTCTTCTCAAGGCTATCACTCTACCACTTGAGCCACAGTGCCACTTCCGGCTTTTTTCTGCTTATGTGGTGCTGAGGTAAGCGCTCTACCACTGAGCCACTTTCCCAGTCCCATATGAACTGTTTTTAAGCAACTGATAAGTTTGTAAGTTATTCCAACAGGAAGTTACAGCACAGTTTCTAAACTTGTAGGACACGAGATTTCTTTGAGTCATAAAAACCACAAAACTTAGAGAAGATCCCTGCTTCCTAAACTTCCTAAGGATAAGAGGGTTTCTATGGCAGTGGAGAAATCATCCAAATGTAATTAAAAGCCAGTGACTGGGGTAGCTATTTTGCTCAGATCTGGTACATTTTTACCTTTAGTTATATTTTTCTAAGCCACAGATGTGCTGATATGTCAGACAATCTTTGTCCAGGACTCAGCTCAACCATTGTAAAAAGAAAGAAAAGAGAACACCATGATCCTAAAGGACCATTAGGGATTCCACAGATGGAATAACATGAGGAAGGATGTATTCTTTTAAAATGTAGAACTCCTTCAACTATGAGAGGGGTTTTCAAGACTACCACCAGGTCTTTTTCCTTGAAGCTTTCTCCTTCAGTTTGTGTGTCGGTGTGGGGCTTGGAAAACTCAGGACCTGGGCATGTCTCTGAGCTTTTTTTTTGCTCAAGGCTAGCACTCTACCACTTTGAGCCACAGCTACACTTCTGAGTTTTAGATGAAATAGTTGAAGGTTCGAGTTTCATAGACCTTCTCACCTGGGCTGGCATTGACCTGTGATCCTCAGATCTCAGGCTCCTGAGTAGTTTGAAGTACAGGCATAAGCCACCAGCCACTGGGCTCTCCTAATTTAGCCTTTTCTAGAAGCCACTGTCCTAGAAGACCAGAGACTAGCTACATTTCAGTAGCACAGCCATTCCTGCCTGTTCTTCTCTGAAGCCCTGGGCCAACAGCTTTTTCAGGAAGTTTGGTTTGGGAAGAGATTTGAACAACTGACAAGTTTGTATGTTATTCCAATAGGAAATCAGAGCATAGCTTCAAAACTCATAGGACAGAGATTTCTTTGAGCCATAACCCCCCAAATCTTGGAGAAGATCCCTGCTTCCTAAACTTCCCAAGGATAAGAGGGTTTCCTAATTAGGCCCTAAATTAGGTCAGTGGGGCTCCAAATTGGATGACACTGTACTGCTTCAACAATTTACATTTTCATTCACGGACCTCTATGAGCTATAAAGTATACAACTTGAGGAGAATCTTGAAATACTTCCCCACCTCAAAGAAATTCTCTTAATTGAAATTACAGTTTTATAGGTATGAGAGTCTGAAGCCAATCTGCCAATATTACCAAAATCTAGGCACATTTTCCTTTAACTAGCTGAGATTCGGTCTACAGTGCCTCTGTTATATTCATTTAAATTATCCTTATGTCCTCAAACAATGAAGCTTTTTCAAATGGTGGAATGTGGCCAGGGGGTTTCAACTGAGTTTGAAGGCCACATCGGCAAAGGCACCCTTCAAATTGGCTTAGGGAATGAATGGGCCCCTTATCAGAGCAGCTGACGGCTGGGCACAATTAACAGCATCTGTGGACGTTCACAAGGCCCCATATAGAACAAGGAGGCCCTGCAGCCCGGCAGAGTAGCAACTTTCAGCTTCTGGCACCTTCAATCCCACATGACCCAATACAAAGGCAGCTCCAGCAGCCTCCTGGCAGGACACTGCCACATTTCCGTGATGTTGCAGGACCACAAGGCAAACTGCTAGTTTATGTTAGTTATACTGAGTAAGTCTGCTAACTTGGGTATCAGCTATCAAAGAAGTTTTCTTTTAAGAGCAGCTCATATTTATGACTGATTTTAATCTTTCTCATGCCATTTTTGTTTTTAAATGACTTGAAAGGACCTTTCAGCCTCCCTTGTCTGTGCTGAATCCTCAGTTTAATTCAGTTTTGATATATCTGCCTGCAGAGGAGGAAATTCATGAAATGCACTTCCTGTTTCAGTATCTAAGAGATATACTTCACTCATGAAGGTGCACAAAAAACCCCCACAAATTCCAGAGCTTCATTAAATAAATTTATTTGTTAAAATAATTTAACTCCAAATACAACTGTTGAATTTGCATCAAGTTCTAACTACAATTCATGTTTTAATGGAAATGCCAAGATTTAACAACTGACATTGTTACAAAACAATAAATTGTTGTTCAAATTTGAAATGGTCAGTTGTATTAGAGCTCAACAATTAACTGTGAACTGTATCTCTGGGAAACCTAAAATCAATAATGATAAGTCTGTTTTCAAAACCTACTGTAGTCATTCTTGAAACCCTGATCAAGATTTAATAGATGCACAATGACAAGTTAAAAAAAAAAAGAAGGAAAGAAAAAGACCCCTATAGTCTTTAATGTTTGATTGGTTAAGGAGACAATTAAAGCTTAACCAGTGCTTAACACAGAGCTAAGGAGAACAGAAAACCAAACAAACAACCCAACATCAATAAACTATGCACAACACTTTCATATGCACACAGACACTGACAACATTCACCCTGGAAAACAAATACGAGACATCCTCAGGCAATATTTCCTTACATGAAAAGCAAATCAGTAGTTTCACCATGGAAAGTGATGGCAACCCAGTGAAGGAGGGCAAAGTTCAGTCTTAATTCTACAAACCAAAGGAGAAGAATCATCGGAGCACCTTTCAACAGTTTAAGGAAAGATTTTATGTAATACTTCTGACAAATGCTGGCTTCTTCCCAGTAAGCTGAACAAATTCAAAGGCATCAAGTTACCACCACTATCACAGCTTAAGAGAAAAAAGTTGTAACATTGAGAGGGAAAAAGAAAAAAAAAGATGCTGCCTTAGTATAAAAGTAAAAAAAACAAAGAGAAAAACCTTATCACAATAGCTAAAGAAAAAATGGGTCTTTGGATCAAACCATAATATTTTTAAGGCATGTTAGAAAAACTTACTTATTTAGTTGCTAGTCTGATCAGGGCATAAAATAGTGACCCAAAGTCACCAACTCTCCTTTACAGACACTTTTTTTTTTTTTTAATGTGCCAACAAGTCTAATCTTCGTGCTCTTGAGTGTTCAATGACTATCTCAGCAAACACATTCATCCGCTCGCACCGAGTTAAGATTCATGCCAGAAGGCCGAGAGTGCAGGAGGACACCCAGTATGGTATGACTTGACACAGGGTGGCTGCATTTGTGGCCATGTGGAAACACTGATTAGGCGGCTGATCGTTCCTAGTGACATCTTCAAAGGAAAAGCTCACCTTATTGTCCTACAAGTATTTCAAACCCAACCCCACATTTTAGATAACTTTCCCACCTTACGTTTTGTCAGACCTTTCTCGTGTGATCTCACCTATTCAAGTCTGCATAGCATGGCATGAGAGAAAACTGTGGAATCTGTACAAGGTCATAACTTGATATTAATTGTGAAATCTTACAAAACTGGACTCGTTTTGAGAAGTCAGAGGCTTCAAAACTCAAATCACTCAAAAACGTCTACTTTAGTAGGTGAGTCGTACTTTTTGCATGGTTGATTTGTTTGAGTCAAATCAACATTTACATAGTGAAGTCTGTTTCAATACAATTGCTTAAAACTGTCCTATGAATTGCTTTTAATTGAAGATTATTAAAAAAACACAGTGTTGAAGATTGTAAATATAATTCAATGATTCTAACAATTATGACCTGGTTTGTACCCACATTATTTCTTCAGTTTTCTCATCTCTGAAAAAATATAACTGACCTTTTTCCTTATCCTTTAAGCTTAATGTCAATTACTAAACAGCTGGAGGTGGGGTTGTCCATGATGGCCATGATGTCTAGAAGATGATTTAAAAGAAAAAAAATGCTTTTGATACAGTATAGACTCTCAGGATAGGCGATTATCTCTGACTTGTGCCAAATTCTTAGAAACAGTAAACACACATGCACACACGAACACACACTCTTCCCTCAGTTACACACGTTAAGACCAGAGGTTACTTGCACAAGACCGTGGAACGAGGAAAGTGTGAGGGGTACGTATATCGCAGGCTCAGTGATATTGCAGTTATGAAGGCCAAATTTATCTCCAGAGGGCGGGCTCAAGACAATCTCTTCAGTGTTTATAACTGAAGTGAGGTGAAAACCCTTCTACCCTTGATTGTAAAACTTCTGAATAGGTTCTTCCTGTGCCATTACTCATGCAAATGATAAATACTTCACGGCTAGGCTATGAAAACCAAAAATGTCAGAGCTTGAGCACCTTTTCAAAACAAAATATTCACGCCAGCCTTATTTGCCACTTCAGTAATCAGGGCAAAATTGTTGTAAGAAAACCTTTATATAATTCTTCAGGAAAATGAAAGATAAAAAGGCTTTTTTTTTGTCCCTTACCTTCCACTCTGTAATTTACGTTCTACTTTTAAACTCAAATTATCTCACATGGTTATTCAACTTCTTCTTTTTTTTTTTTTTAATGCCTTGCAAATAAAGCTCTGCTACAGCAAACTGGATTTCCAAAGCAGAGTAGCCAAGGCTCACATCACAACCATAGCCCTTAAAGGCAGAGGAGGAATTTACAGCTTTCATGAACATAAAATGCCAGACACCTGTCCTGTCAGGTTTCTGCAAACGGGAACAGCATGGCTTTGTTTTCCTTACATGATGGTACTAGGTCATCTCCTAGATCGCCCGTGCTGGGGAGGCTAGGTAAACTCTCCATCTCAGTTGCTTCCTTCTTGTTAATAAAGACCATCTCTGCTTGGCTAAGAGAGGTGGGTTTGTGCCTTTAATTCTGATCAAACCCCTGTGAGAACTTTCGTTCTCTGTGGCAAAGCAGGTGACTTAACAAATTCTAAAGCCTGACTCTATCTGCACACAACCTTGTTCTGACTTTGACACTATCAAGAACTGATGCATGAGTTAGTTTCATGTCACAAATTAGAATCACATCTACAGTTCATGAATTCTGAAAAACAGAAATGTGGCAGCTGAGTGAAGGCTCTCCCCGCAGTTCTGTTGGCAGGCCAGCTGGTGTCCGACTTGACGGAATACACTGGTTAGAAGTTCCAGAAATTCAGTACTCTTGTAGGAAAATATTTCTCCTTTTACTTATTTTTTTTTTTAAAGACGACAAAATATTTTAATTGTAAGTGGTCATAGGAACTCTTCTGGTTACTCTCTCATGATTATTTTCAAATTATACAATAGTTGCTTTGTCAACTCAGTGGCCAGGCCACCATCGCTTTCTAATGAGATCACCCTGTAGATCGATGGCTGGGGCCTTCAAGTTGCAGACGCATGAAGGAGACAGGACAATGGTGAAGACCGTAGTCACTGAGCCCCACTGTGCTCAAAGACATGGTTTCTGAGTAAGGGCTGCAGGGCACTGTGGATTCATACCACGCATCCTGCCAACTGCAAGAGACTAGGCGATGCCAGGCACATCCCAGCCCAGGTCAGCCACATTCAGGTGCTACTGTATGTTACAGGCTGAACAGCACGGATCATCTTTGTCGGGCTGAGCAGCATAGTTCATCTGCCTCACAATTTCTGCAAACAGTTCGTCCACCATTGTTTTACTCTTAGCAGAAGTCTCCATGAAAGGACAGCCCCATTCTTCGGCCAGTGCTCGGCCTTCGTTGGAGGACACTTCTCTCTCGCTCTCCAGGTCCACTTTGTTCCCAACCAAGATAACCGGCACTTTCTCATACCTACAAGAGAATACACAACACACACACAGATCGTGGCAGTTAGCATAAAGTTTGACAGGGCAAATAGGTTTTCTCTCTTCACCATATCCTTCTATAAGTGGCCTCTTCAGTTGTGGGAGAAATTATCTGCACCTGTTGGCCTGACACCTACCAGAGCCATTCTGAAGCTGTTCTCAGAATGGATCATTATTTATTTTTTAAAATAAAGACTTTTTTCTTAAATGGTGTGTGTTTTTTAAAAAAAACTAATCAATCATGCATCCTTTAAAAATCAATTAACCTTTTCAGATATACTTGGAAAGTTATTTTCTGAATCTCAGACTAACTCCTATTAGGTTAAAATTTTCTGCTTTAAAAACTGCCTATTTGCTGGGCACCATTGACTCATTCCTATAATCCTAGCTACTCAGAAGGCTGTGATCTGAGGATCTTAGGGGCAGGAAAGTCTGTGAAACTCTCATCTCCAGTTAACAACTAGGAAACTGGAAGTGGAGCTGTGGCTCAAAGTGGTAGAGCACTAGCCCTGAGTGAAAAAGCTGAAGGACAGTACCTAAGCCCTGAGTTCAAGCCCCACAACTGACAAAAAGAAAACAAAAAAATCCCCCAAACCTGCTTATTTGAAATTTCAGTTGATTATGAAATGATTCTTTCCACTGAGTAAACATCATTTGTCAGTACTTGTAAGTATAAAAAACCAATCATGTTTTAAGAAAAAAAACAAGAGATAAGAATTAGTTTCTAAATGAGAAAAATAAGTTCCTAAATAAGAAAAAGAAAACTAGCAGAAATTACTGGAACAATAATGATCAAATACGACTTCACCCTTCTCTTTTAACCAAACTTTATAGAGTTGCTAGTTGCAAGAGAAACAAGTATGGTCCTTAAAAGACTAGGATTAGACATCTTTTCCTTCTTAACTAGAATATGTGTTTCTGGGTAAACATGTTTTCAAAAAGCTGACTGTTTAAGGTAGTGAGTCTACCAACAAAGAACAAGGAAGGCCCTAGCTCACTATGGTACTTACAGATGATTTTCTCTACAATGGCCGCTTCATGCACCATAGGACACAACAGATGCCTTGTGTGGATGTACCTAGTTCTGGACTGCATATCTGTATGTACCTTGCTGGTTATAAGAAATGTAAAGAGTAAAACTCTACGTAAATGAGAGCAAATGTGACTGGACACAATTAACCTGTCAGAAGAGAAAACTATATAGACAAGAGAGAAAACTATATAGACAAGACTTCACTGAGGCAAGATTCTTTTTTTTTTTTTTGGGTCTGGTCATGAGGCCTGAACTCTGGGCCTGGGTGCTGTCCCTCAGCTCTTCAGCTGCTCTACCACTTGAGCCACAGCACCACTTCCGGCTTTTTTTTCTTTTGCTTATGTGGTGCTGAGGAATCGAACCCAGGGCCTCATGCATGCGAGGCAAACGCTCTACCACTGAGCCACCTTCCCAGCCCCTGAGGCAAGATTCTTATAGTTTCATATTTTTAAAAAACATTCAGGACCAAAGAACAGAGAAGTAAGTAGCTGTTTGTTTGTGGTAACACTTGCACCATTTCACCGTTTTGTCAAGATGATTCTCTAATTTGGAAACCAACCATTCCCATTGAGTCTCACTTTTTTTCTTTTAACAATAGATCACACGAAGCCTGGTCTCAATTTGAAGGCACACTCCAGGAAGTATGCTATTGAGCAAAACATTTAACAACTTAAATATGAGTGAAAGGAACATCAAGGGTGAACCTAGAATTTTGTATCATCATAATACAGGATATGGATGGACAACTCCAACTTGTATCAAAGGACTCTGTATCTGTATGAACCTGTAATACACTGTACCAAGCCATGAAAACATGCTGACAGCTCTGAGTGCACATGCACGCGTGCACGCATGTGCATGTGCACACACACACACACACACACATATACACGGAGTTTGGTATTCACACATACAAACTATTATGTGTAACACCAAGTACCAGCTAACTGCACCAGAGTCCTCTGAGTCAGTGGTACAGAGGAGGTTGGCTGGGATCTGACACTGACAATTTCTAATCTCCTTACCCGAGAAGATACAACTGCATTTCCTTAGACTAAAAAATATCACCAAGTACCTTAACATGTCATCAGTGAGGTAACTCAAAAACAATACAATTAAGTAAAGAATACTGGGTAGAACTTAAAACCTAATTTAAATCTGCTAACAATACTTAATAAGAAAAGTGATTAAGATACCACTTTCTATTATCAGGTGAAAGGTAAGTTTTAAGGAATATTTTAAATAGAGTACTATATCATGTCTTATACTTAAAGAGGAAATATTTTTCTTACTTTTACTTGAAAAGTACAGGAAATATTAGAATACATGGATTTTCTAAAACTTGCATAATAGTGTTATTAAAGTTGGATGACACACTTCAAATCAATAATTTTATCCATTTTACTAACTCAATTCTAAAAAGAGTAACCAGACACTGTAACCATAGATCCAAATAGAGTAGCATTTAATAACTGTTAGTAATATTTTATAATATACATTAAAATCACTATCAGAAGATCTATGATCAGTAATATTTTCTACTCAAGATGCTAGAGATTATTAATATCCTCAGATTAAAAAAAAACTGAGGGCTGGGAAGGTGGCTCAGTGGTAGAGTGCATGCCTTGCATGCCAGAGGCCCTGGGTTCAATTCCTCAGCACCACAAAAGCAAAAAGAAAAAAGCCGGAAGTAGTGCTGTGGCTCAAATGGTAGAGCACTAGCCTTGAGCTGAAGAGCTGAGGGACAGTGCCCAGGCCCAGAGTTCAGGCCTCATGACTGGACCCCCCCCCAAAAAAACCAAAACAAAACAAAAAAACTGAGTAACATGCTGGGAAGGTGGCTCAATGGTAGTGCTTGCCTGACATGCATGAGGCCCTGGATTTGATTCCTCAGCACCACATAAGTAGAAAAAAAGCCAGAAGTGGCGCTGCTGCTCAAGTGGTATGGCACTAGCCTTGAGGTGAAGAGCTGAGGACAGTGCCCAGGCCCAGAGTTCAGGCCCACGACTGACAAAACAAAACAAAACACAAAAACAAACAAAAAAACTGAGTAAGATCTTGAGATAAAATTATGTGCACTGTAGAATACCAGATGGTGACCAATTTTGTCTTTCTGTTAGCATTAAAATTTAGGACAGCCAGGTGCTGGTAGGTAGCTCAGGCCTGTAAATCCCAGCTACTCAAAAGGCTGAGATCTGAGAATCACAGTTCAAAAAGCCAGCTTGGGCAGGAAAGTCCTTGAGACTTTTGTCTTGAGCTAACTACCAAAAAGCTAGAAGAGGAACTGTGGCTGAAGTGGTAGAGTGCTAGGTCTTGAGCAACAAGGCTCAGGGACAGGGCCTAGGTCCTGAGTTCAAGCCCTAAGACTGGCACAAATTGAGATAGTAGAAAATATTTTAAAGTACAATTTGGAGTCTCCCCTTTCAGTTCTGCCAATGACAGTCTGCATGACTGAACAAATAATTTCCTTTATGTATGTGTATGATTTTTTTTGTCAGTAAAAAAAGTGGGAATATCTATTTCCATATAGCACACAAGGTCATTATTAAGGTCAACTGAGATAATAAGAAAAATGTCAAGACTAGATAAAAACAGAGTGCTTGTTTGTCCCTGTCATGCCCCCTCCCCCATGTAAGATGACAGAAATGATAAAGGAAAGGTAGAGATTTCTTGAGAAGTTGTGAAGTCTGAGAACCAAGGGGGGTGTGCTACAGAACCCTGGGCTGGAGACACACAGTCAAAAACAATACCAAAGAACCAACATGGATCAATATGGTACAGACCAGAACTCTTCCAGAACTCTACATACTTCTGTGAATTTAGATACATTTACTCTTGTGGAGCTTTCTTGAAATGAGCTGGACTAGGTAATTTCTTAGGTGTTCTTAAAGTAAAAAATTACAATAGCCATGGTGGGCCACACCCACGAGCAGCACCTATTATTTACCACTCTTCTGAGAACAACATTTAACAGTCTGACCTGTAGAAGAGAGAGGAATTGCATGGGAGCAAAGCCAAAATGCAGGGGAAAGCCTTGTGAAGAGCTCACAGGGCTCACACAGTGAGGAGCAGAGATTTTCAATTCTATCAGTAAAGCAGCTACCATTAGCATGCTGATTCTCAGGCAGAGGAAAGATGCACTCAAGACCCAAGCAGCTCCACTCAGTATTTGACAATATTGCTTAGAGGTGAATATGTGGGAAAAAAAAAGATTTTTACAGGCTGCATGGGAAAACCCTTCAACGTGGTATAGTTTTTTTACTGATCACTATCAGTAAACAAAGAGCCATTGCTTAATTAACACATTTATTTGCTGAGAGCTAAGATACTATTGTTTCTATAAATGAAGACCTATTGTTACTATATAAATTGTTACTATATATATATATAAATTGTTACTATATATTGTTTACTATAAATAAAGACCTCTAAGATCTCTCTCTGCCTTTCATAGTGATGACAGTCCAGGAGAGGACACTAATGGTATACTGTAGAGGATAGTAAAGAGGACACTAATAGTAACACCAATGATTAAGTAAATTACAGGTTTATTAGAGACAACAAACAAACAAACCCAAACACACCAAAAAACAAAAACCAAACCAACCCAAGACATGGCTCAGGGAGCAGGCTAGAAGCCCAGGCGCCATTTTCAGTAAGATCACCACAGCCCCTGTTGAGAAGGTGGTATGTGAGCTAAGAAGTGAAGGCTGTAGAGTTTTCCATGCAGGTACCAGGGAGAGCACTCCTTGTGGGCCAAGGATCAGTCAGTGCGAGGGCCAGAGGAAGGCACGGCTGGTGGGCTCAGTAATAGCAAATGGGCCTATGCACCTGTAAGACCTCCCTCATCTCCTGCAAGATCCAGACATTCAGGAAACACATTCACTGGAGGTGAAATACAATGGAGAAACTGGGTGCCAAAAGTGGCCTCACCAGACCAAGGTGACATTCAT